CAGCTTCTTCCACAAATTTCTCTGGTTGTTTAGTGCTCATAAAAAGTTCCCTTTTCTAGTTAAAAACATTTTATTTGTATTTGTGCTTTGAGAAAAATATCATTCAAGAAACTTCCATAAAAAAACAAAAAAATAAACAAATGTTGTTTAGCGCCACATGATCAAAACAAATCAAATGAATTGTCTCTCCACATAATTTGATTAACTTGGCACAAATAAATTTGCACAACAAGAGCACTCGACTTCGTTGCACCTGTTTTTGTTTGTTCAAATCCAGGCTCAATGTTTTTTTTTATGGTGTAAACAACCTGTGCAGCAACATGGCCCATTCTCTGTCCACATCTGAGGAGAATAAAAGAACATCAGATTAGGGCAGAAAAACAGAGCCATCGGTAAACAGGGATTAGGGGATTGGGTCGTTAATCTGATTAATATGGAAGCGGTCAAGATATTAGAAATGTTACTCAACAGTGGAGTTCCAGATGAGAGGATAATCACACTTTATTACGTCACTTATTGTTTCCCTGTTGGAAGTTTCGGAGCTGTAAGCCGGCAGCCATATGTTTACCCGACCTCTGGGATCCTCAAAGCAAAATAAACACGATAAGAAATTGGAGCTCACGTTGGAAAACACATTTAGAAATATGGAGGAATTAAATCTGATTGTGGAATTTATTTGGGAAAGATGGCTTGAATAAAAGTTCAAAAACAAACAAACAATAAAAGCTTGTAAAGGCGAGCTGTTTATTTTACTTCTCTAAACTGCAGCACTTTTTTTGTCCTGCTGCAATAATGTCTGTTTGTTTTCATCTGCCTGTTAGAAAATTATCTCATGAACCACTGGATGAAATTTARGAATGTTAGCAGAAAGCAATCAGCTGATGTACATCTACAACCGATTCCTGTTTGATGGCAACATGATTAAAGTTGGTTGAACTTAAAAACATCAAAACTGGTTTTACAAATATTAAGCTGTAATTAGGAGAAATTTTGATTCATCCCCAACATACAATATATTGTAAGCACTGACATATAGCACAAGAGTTTAAATACGAAGCCCTGGATGGAATTTAATAATAATAGGTCCTTGTTAAAAAAAAGTTTCTTCTTCAAGAGAATTCTTCAGTCTGAGGAAACTCAGCCTCATAAAAATAATTTCACATTGTGGACAAACAAGTTAGCAATGACAATCTAAACTGTTCACAAGCAAGAGGACCATCAGGCAGTTTCTCAAAAGTGGCTTCTTTTACTCCAGTCTTAAACCAAACTTTCTCCCTCTGAAGGATGAGAACATCTTCATCTCTGAAAGAGTGATCGTTGGCCTGTAGATGAGTGTAAACTGCAGAGTCCTGGCCTGATGATGTAGCTCTTCTGTGTTGGACCATTCTTTTGAACAGTGGCTGCTTTGTTTCCCAGATGTATGACTGATCACAATCCTGCTGGCACCTAACAGCATATACAATATTACTCTATTTGTGCCGGGGGACTGGATCTTTAGGGTGAACCCGTCTTTGCCGTAACGTGTTTTGGGGTTTGAAAATCACTGTGACGTCAAGTTTAGAGAACAAACATCTCAGTTTCTCTGAAACTCCTGCAACATACGGAATAACCACTGGTTTAGGTCTGGATTTTGGGGTCTTCCCTGTTTGGGTTTCTTTGTCTACTTTTAGGAAAGCCCATTTGGGTTAACTAAACTGCACCAGAGCCTATCTTATTTGGGATTTCACAGGGGTGGAGGTCTCCATATCCATTTGTCCCCTTCTTACAATGCTGTCACTGAGAGTATGACTCAGCCCTTTGTGAACAATAGGAATAATCAGAGCACTAACGATTGTTAGGCTGATGGTCCTTTCCTGTATTTGAACAAACCGTTTTGATTGTCATTGTTAAATGTAAAGGCACTTCTTACAAGACTGAGTTTACCTGTAACTCCTCAGACTGAAGAAGTCTTTTGGAGAAGAGATGAAGCATTTTTTCAACAAAGAAGAATCCGTCCAAAGGTCCTACTCAATTATTATCTTTTTTTTCTTCCTGGATTATTGAGATGCATTATAATACCTCTACAACTTATTAAAGCTGGCCACCAAAGCCATATGACCTAGATGACACAAAATGAATTTAACTCAGTAATTTTGACAGATTTTGAGCTAATGTTAGTAGATGACTCATTCGCAACACAACAGTGTTGTTCTGTCAGTAGCTCCTTTACACAGGAGCCACAACAAGCAAACTCTCATGAAAGATTTGTCAATTTTTGTACACCGGATAGTCTTCTTGATTCAACCTGGGCTTTAACTTCCAGCTTCAGGGTAACAAGACCACGGCACTGACCATTGCAGCCCCTCATATCACAAGAGTGTAACATTTTTTAATAATGCATTGTTATTTTTAAGTTTGTCCAACAATAGCATTAAGAGAACGCTAGGGTTTTAAAATTGCCCAACCACACAAAACTGGATTAAAATGTTACATTTTGCTAAGAGTTGTAATTAGAAAAGTAAAGATTTACTTTAGTTTTTATTGTTTTAAAGTCTCACGTCTTGTTGTTCCTTGAGTTAAACTGATAAACTCGAGTGTTTCCAGTTCAATAAAACCCTTCAGGTGGTGTTTCAGAGGTTGTCACCATACATTTAGTTCCATTAAAGCGTCTCCTCCAGCTTGAATCCACTTCGCATGCAGATTTTAATATATGTCTAATGAGGGGAGTGAGCGAATGGGAAGGTTTACCATAATCACAGCGGAGGATGCTTTGACTCAAGCTGACAGATGTATTGAAAACAAAGTGTTCAATAATTGGAAAGATTTAAAGATCAGCGTTATGTGCTGAAAAAAATATGAGGGGGGAAAAATGAATATGGAGGCAGTTTTAACTGTGGGCTGCAGCTAATGTTGGTGGTTAGGCAACATAAAGCAGGAGTTGTTGTAGCTTACCCCCTCAGCTGCAGTTTTATTAGCGTGCATTGTGAGTGCACAACTAGAAGACAGCATTATGCATTGTTATCAGCAGCCTGACAAAAAATGAATTACCACCCAGGGGTTGATTTGGTACCTCAGCCTGCGCAGCACATATATCTTTACTGTATGACACAACATGCGTGAATCCATTGCCAGAGTTTGGCTTGTTACTGATACCAGGGGGGGACATTTCAATTCAGTGTGTTTATGTATATTTTGACTTTATTGCTTCTCCTCCTTAGCATACATCACCTCCCCCGTTATAAAGAGATACCCTGCTGGACCATGATAGGGTAAATTGGATGTTTGAATGTTGTTGTTAAGATTTTTTTATCCTCCATTTCTATTCATGAGCTGTGAATCTTGGTTCAAATGCCTTTAAGACAGATTCTGCTTTATAAGAATCAGGAATAAAAAAATGTTTTTTTCTGTTACAAATAGTAGCTGTATCTGACTGCCACTGACAAAAGCTTGAGCCTCTTAATAATTCACAACTCCCACCTGAAAAGGAATAAAATGTTTTTTTTATATTTATTTTAAATRTTTTAAAGAAGGTTGGAAATTTCCCTCCACCTTCACACTGATGTGTTTTGCTTTGGATGCTGTGTTTTGTTTTCCTCACATATGGCTCTGTCTCACCCCTGGGGAATTTCCTCTTCTGGGCTAATGTGAATATTAGTATGGGTTAAATGCTCCACTCATTTGTGCATTAATGCATATTGCATAATTAATGTTTTGATTCTCAGTATCAGCAGGAAGAAAATACATCTCTACGTTGAGCTGTAAAATWTCTTAGTTATATATTTTGCAGCAGGAGTTGCTGATTATTTACTAATTGAGGGGACTGATAGGATGTGATGAAATGAGACGCTTTATTGATTTGTTTCTTATCAAACAGATAAATTCAGAGGAAAAATGTGAACAGTGTTCATTTCTGGGAAGAAATTAGATATAAAAACTTTAAAGGTTAAATTATAATGAAACTTTTATAACAGAAATGCAAAAAAWTGTTTTGTAGATACTTTTGTTCTTCTTAAGGACATAATCATGAACTTAATGTCTTCTTAAAGCTTTAGAATTTTGGGCTTAATTATCTTACTTTATATCTCAAAAAATCTAATTAAATAATTTTGTGTTTCCATATTTTTTCTTTACAAAGTGTTGTTTAGAATGATAACACTCATTTTTATAATAAACTGAGTCATTTAAACAAACTGTTGTTATACAGATGGATCAAGACATTCAAAAAAATTAAACAATTAAATCATTAAAATTTATATTTTCACTTTTTAGTTTAAAAACATAAACTGATTGTCAGTTTTGTGCTCAAAACCATCAGGTGCTGACTTCAAATCTCTGAACTTTTTTTTCCTGATAAATGTTGTTTTTAAACATTTCTTTAAGTTTTGATTCCTGATCAGATCTTCCTTGAGGACTTCTAAAATCCAAATGGGGAACAAAGGACGCAGCGGCTGAAGCTGCGCGGTGATTAAAAGACGCCAAACTGCGCCATTAAACGAGCTTGTAATTACATTTCTTAATCACATCACCGCTTGTAATCGCCTCCACGATGAGTCTGATTGTGTGAAACCAGGTATTACAGCGGCAGCTTTCACACACACACTTGTTTTTAAGGATTTTATAGCACATCATCATGGAAATAAACACAATAAAAGTCAACAGTCTGTGTTTTCTTTTTTCTTTTTTTTTTTCGGCTTGGGGATGAGTCTTTGCGCAGCCCGGAGGCGTCACGTCTGGCCTTCTCTCTCAGGACTTGGCATGACTTACAGCTCAAAAATAAAAATAAAAATTAAATTATGAGAGTAACGGCTTTGAATGAGTGTAAAACAGTTATTTGCTCCATCTTTCTTGAACTTAACACCTGTTCTGATCTGTGATGGTCGAAATGTGAATAAAAGCGCACCAAATCATGAGATTAAAAGTTGCTAAACCATTATAGGATGTTGTCAATCAGCTTTAAAAWACGCATAAAAGCACATGTCTCTGATTCTAACTGAACTGGATGAAAAATCAGAGTTTTTTTCTGTTGTTCAAAATATTTTAATAAAGCTTTTCAACACTGAAATACATACAAACGGCCCTCTTTGCTCATAGAAGAACTGAAGTATCTACAATAAACCACACAGCCTGACCTGACAACGCGTTTCATCTCAACACTTTATATTTCAAAATGAAAATAATAATAATTTTCAAAGAAAAATACATCAACTTAAACAACAAAGTGCAATGCAAGCAAAAGTATCCATCATAAATATCCCCAAATGAATAAATTACAAAACACACGTTCAAAAACATTTTAGAGTACTTGATTCAGATTTTTTTTGTTTTTAAATTCTTGAATTTTTATTACATCATAATGGCTCCTAAAATGAACAATGTTAACAAGAATCTGCATTAAACAAAGAGCTGATTTGGATGACTGTGTAACATTCAAGAGAAAAGATTTTATATCAGGCCTTTGGATGGCGAAATGAAAGAAAACTCGGGTGATGATTCAGGAGAAAGCAGCAGAAAGTGAGATAAACGCTCTGGGAAGGTGTTCAGATTTAAATAGGAAGGAGGTCGGGGGGAGGGAGGGTGTGTGTGTGTGTGTGAAAAGTTGTCAGGTCACCCAAATCTCCAAAAAGAATCCAAAAACAACAGCTGCATCTTTCACAGGCCTTTCTTCTTCTGCTCGGCCTTCATGTCAATCAGCACTTTAAGAATGATTTAGATACACAATCAAGTATTGTTGGAACAAAAAAAAAAGAAAGAAGAAGAAGCGCGTTTTAATGTGTTTAGTAAATATTATAAAAGTATTCATCGGTGTTACTTTGTGTCTCTAGTCTAGTGACTTTAAACAACAGGAATCTCACGGTCCTTTTTTGTGTGTGTTTCTCCAAAAGTGTCCTCCAAAGTGGGACCTGCTTTCTTCTGCGCTTCTTTGAGTCTCTTTTTTCTTTCTTTTTGCGGGGCGCAGTTAAGGCTTGTCAGTGCACTGTTTGCACAGGCTGGAGGTGGCGTTGTTGAACAGGGCGCATTTATCCGGGCAGGAGGACGCAGCCACGCCGGTCGGGAAGGGGTATCCGGGCGGCTGGTCGTACGCGCCCAGCCCGGGAGCCGCGAGCGCAGTGGTGGCCGGGATGGACGCCGCGGAGATGGCCTGGCCCTGGTTGAGGTACGCCACTAGCCTCCTCATCTCCTCCAGCGCCTGCGCCTGCATGAGGATGTAGTTCTTGGCGAGCAGCAACGTGGCGATTTTGGAGAGTTTCCGCACAGACGGGCTGTGCGCGTACGGGATGACCGCCCGGAGCTCGTCCAGCGCGTCGTTCAGGTCGTGCATCCGCCGTCTCTCCCTGGCGTTGATGTTTAGCCTCAGTAATTTCTGCTCTTTGGTTTTCTTACCTCCCTCGGCTTTCCCTGCGGGGCCGGTCCGCACGTCGGCCAGGAGGACCATGTCGCACCTGCCGTCGCTGTCATCGTCGGGGCTCTGCTCCCCGCCGCTGCTCTCCGCCGCCGAAGTCCTGTTGGCGCTCTCCCCGTAATTGACGCACAAAGATCCGGTCGGCAGACCCAGCGTCCCCCCTCTGCTGCCCGCCAGTCCCCCCGGCTGAATCGGATCCGGGTCGGCCTGGTCGAAGCAGCCGATCGGGGATTGGCGGTCTCTGGTGGGCAGCTCGAGGCCGGCCGACGATCTGAAAGGGTCCATCTTCTTGGTGGACACGGCGCTGAGAGTTTTGTGGAAAATGTCCCCCGCGCCTCCGCTCAGGCTCAGCCTCCGGTCCATAGCCTCGTGGGTCGCAGCAGTCTGTGGTCGCGTGTGGAAACTCTTGGCGCGTCTCGGAGAGTTTCTCCCGACTGTTGGGTGAAACTTTCAGGCTCCTCTTCGTCAGCTGAGGAGGTGCCGCGACGAGGAGGAGGAGGAGAAGTGTCGCTCTCCTCTGACTGCTTTTCAGTCTGTGCCGGATTCACCTTCACCAAATCATTCCTCGTTACGCACGAGAAGCTTCAGTCTTTTTACAWCATTATCTTGAGGCGGGTTATTAAAAAGGATTCGCCTATTGGGACGGAGACACCCTCTCCCCTCTCACTCTCCACCCAATCAGGTTAACGTTTCAATTAAGGGCGTTTAAACCTTGACAAACATTACCGCGTGCGCCTCGTCCCCTCCTCCGAGCGCGCGCGTCTTTTTGGAAACCTTCCTGATCATTTGGCTTACTCCTTTATGTTACAAACCAAAGTTAGTTGCTCAGTTTGTTCTGCATTAAATACGTTTTTCTTTACTCTAAATTAAATTTTAAGCTTTTTAAAGAAATAATATTATTTTTATTTCCYTTTAATCTTTACTTGACTTGAATTTTTAGAACAAATCAAACAGGAGACTCAGACATGAGCCGAATTATTACGTCAATTTCGCCTAAACCACAGTTTTTCATTCATTGTTCCTGCTTTAAGGTTTTTACTTAAAGTTAATTTTCTCATAAATGACCACAATTTTGTGCTCGCGCGTCTCAGCGCGTTACTTTGTTCATGCTGCCACCTTCTGGATTTAATCTTTTACTACAGACATTAAAAGACATAAAGTGTATTTTTTTGATCACGCTTTTTTTTGAGCTCCCATCATCTCTAAAAACATTTTTTAGGACCGGAAATATATAAAAGCATTAACATATAAGTTTATTTTATTTTCAGCAGATAAAAGTCTGCTTTAACAGATGACTTTACAGCTRCACAAAAAGCTTCTGATCATGTTTGTTGAAGCAAACAGGTACATATGTTAATGAGTGATTCCAGATTGTGGGATGTTTTCCTTCTGTTTTTATGTTGACTTGATTCTGTTGATTCTCATTTAATAACAAAATAAAAAAACAGCTGAAGAATTATTTATTTAAGTTTTGACTCAATCTGGGCTGCATGGTTTTTTTTTTTTTACTTGTTTGGATCTTTCATAATTGCTTTTACACCCTCCTGTTTTGTCTTTGGTTGTGTTTATTTGTTTCACATCTTGTGACGCACCTTGCAGTGTTTGTCTTGTGAAAGGTGCTATATGCTGTAAATAAATCTTACTTAAAATTCATGCAGCTGGGGATTTTGCAAGCAGAATGTCTCAGGTTTCACATCAAACACAACAAAGCCTGGATAAAAAAACAGAACTGAGTGAATTTATTAATAATTGCTGCCATGATTTATACATTTGAATTGACCTTATAGGGACAGTGGTTCCCAACGTTGGGGTTGGGACTCAAAACATCATGGTGGGGTCTTTAAAAGATTTTCTGAATTAATCCATTTAACAATTTCTTGTCTTGCAAGAGTGAGGTTCGTGCTTTAAAACAGATGAAAGTGCCCTTCTTTATTTGACTTGATACCAATGTTTATTACCCTAAAACAGCTGGGGGCACAGGTCTCTGCTGCTGTTATTTTGTGGGTAAAAACAAAAAAGGGTTGGGAATCACTGCTAGGGATAAAACCAGTGGGAAAAAAATCGAAAATGACACAAGAGAGTCCAAAGTTAAAGAGCAAAACTGAGTGCAAAGTGAGTTCAGCACCTTGGACAGCTCCACAGTTTTCCTCTCACTTCAGCTCCWCAGGTGAGACCACCACAGAGCTTTTAGCTTCTCTGAGACCAACTCCTTCTCCTCCTGGAATATTTCTTTTACTCACTAACAGCCAATTTTATAATTATTCTCCATTTAAAGACACTCTGAGAAATACATTAAGGGGCAAAAATCCATTTCCGAGTCCTAACAAATAGGCCGGCTTGTTACCATGGTGCACATACATTCAGCAATGATTACAGCTGACCCCTGCCAATCGAAAGCTTTGTGAATGCACCCTGGATTTTTTTTCCAACCCCTGAGTTTCATGTCTGCATATTATGAAACAAGAACGAGGCTCATAGTTAAAAAAAAAAAGGCTGCCTCTCAGGGTGAATCATCACCTGGAGACGTCTCTGTTTGCCAAAGAATTCTGTCGCTCCTGCTTCAACGCAACACGTTTGTTCCATTTGAGTTGAGAAGGAACACCTGAGCATCGACAGGAAAGGGATTCTTGTGTCACAAAACATTCAAGGTCAAAGTTTGAGTTCCCTTTCAGCACATTCCCATTAGTCCCCTCTGTGGGGCAGGATGCTTGAGGAGTTATGACCTAACGATGGACACAGAGAGACACTTCATCCCGAGAACACCTTCATGGCCAATCAGCTTCGGCTAATGAGACAAGATGGGCAAGGACGCTGCCACAGCCATTACAGCCACAGTGTACATCAGCACTTTGCTAACGAGAAAACTATGAAGACAAAAAAAAATGAGGGAGGACAAAGAACAAAAACCTCAAACAGATTTATCATTTGATAGAAATACTGGATTGATTGCCAGAAACTGAATTGTTTTGATTGTTAAAATGATCTAATTATTACACTACTACAGTTTTTTCATGGTGATTATTTCTTTGATTTAAGGTTTAATTAATGAAGAAGAGTTTGGGCCTGACAAAGTAAACACATCTGAGCCTTTCAATGTATCTGATTTTATGGATTATCAGATAACTTATATTTCTCTTAGACAAAGACCTTATAATTAGTGCATATTACAAATTGGTCCTAAAGTCTTAGAATATTAAGTATTCACTCAAATGTTATAGGTTGTTTCATGCATTTTTCTTCATCGTGGGGTTTTGTCCTGAGTGATAAAACTGATTCTTGTCAGTTTCAGTGAGTTCCTTGGTTCATTCTTTATATGTTTTGAGGTAAAACTCCTGAAAATATCAGATTATTAAACCAAAACATGCAGAATTTTATGCTAAAAAAATCACTGATCCCAGTAGTTAAAAAGAAACTTTAAAATGTTTAAAAGGTCTTCATCAAACATACCATATGACCTGAAAGTTCAACTATGTTTTTCTTTATTTGCAAATTGCTCTGAGTTAATACAACTGTTTGTCCCTGAGTTTTTGCCCTGAGATAAACAGTTAATCTCCCCTGTGACTCGCAGGTCTGCAAGTCTTAACTAAACTTTTAACAAGTAAAATATATTTCTAGTAATTTTTTTGTAATTTCTAACAGATTTTTAGTAAAGATAAACGTGGCTCCACAAATTTTATATAACAAAATATTATAATGTGGGAGGTGCAGGGCTTAGAGCTGCTGCCTCTCGTTGAGAGGGCTGCAGGATTCTGCAGGATTGACCTCTGTCTGAGTGATGGTTACATGTTCTCTAACACAGACCACAACATGCATGTTGGATCAATTGGTAACTCTAAATTGTCTCGAGATAAGAATGTGAATGGTTCTTTGGTTTGTTGTTTCTGGGATGGACTTCCGACCTGTCCAGGGTGTCCAGTGACTGCTGCGGACAGACCCCAGCTCCCCACCACCCGGAAAAGGAAAAGCAGCTCAGAAAGTTGTGGGTTAATGTTTGCAGGATGGATGTTCATGTTTACACCACTAGAGGGCAGCAGAGGATWTGTGAACTCAAATCAGGCCGCGGCATGGAGGAGGAATATGATGAACCCAGCCTGATTGAATTTATTCAACTTGGATTTTTCCCTCTTATCAGCAGAAGACAGACTTCCGGGCTGAGGAGGTGTGATTTGAGAAGCATGTTCTGTAATGTCATGGTATGTACTGACACCCTGCTGTAACCATGACAAGACGCGTTGGTTGCTTCATTTTAACATGCACCCTCCCTATAAACAGGTAAATGTTGTGACTTCACCCACTCATCATGGATTCCTTCACTTCTCTTGAACACTTCTAACAGCCTCAATCAAAACATTTTAACATGTTGAATCAGTTGTCTCTCCTCTGATTGCTTATTTAAATAATTTAAGTAAATTAACATTATTGAGCTGATGAAAAGGATCTCTCTCTCTCTCTCTCTCTCTCTCTCTCTCTCTCTCTCTCTCTCTCTC